AACTAATACTGCCAGACGCGGAGCTACGATTTCAAGTTTATGGGTGCAGAATTCTAAGCATTTTAAGTTACTGAGTTCTAAATTGTTAAATTATAAATAATCAATAAATTATTCAAGGAAAATACAAGGTTTAAACCAAAGCTACTAGGTTCACTGAACCTGCAACCATAGGCTTTCTTTAAACCATACTTTGGGGAGGGGATCTTTGAACCTTGTTTGAGCTCCTCTTCCCCTTTCTAGACAAGAAAGGAACTCGCGTCCTTCTCTCGTGACTTCAGGCGCTCAAGTTTGCGTCATTCATCCGGTGCTAACGGGTCACGTCGTCCACAGCCTCTTGCCCTACCCATGCTTTCCGCTTTCCTAGTATTACAGCCCTTCGTGTAGGAAGGTGTAGGAGTCACTAGCCTTAACTTCTTTATCTACTTGAAAGCTGATGGGAGTACGACTTTCTTCAAGGAAGTGTCCCAAAAAGCCAAGGTCGTGGGTGGCCAAGAGGGCCCACTTGGAGACTTGGGATCTCAGCACGAAATGCGAAGGTTGCAACAAGTCGGGAACACATGCAAGTCCAGATTGAAAGATAAGGAAGGCAAGTCAAAGCGGAAAGAAAGCCTTAGCCGGAAAAGAAAGAAAAGTAGGCGCTTTTAAGGCCAGTGTGGAGTAGCTAGAATGAATGGGAGGCAATTCGTCCTACATTGGGTGGCTTGCTAAAGCCCTTCACCCCCACCCCCTAAAGTAGTAAAGTGATGCTAGGCTGCTTCACAGAGGTGCGCTTCGCTCGACCACATGATGAACATATTTTAAGCTAACTGCATGCTTGTGGTCACTTGGCTCCGCCCCTGAATACTGCCTACAGGCTACAAAGAGAGCTAACGGAACCCAAGCGAACCATAGCTAGCAACAATTATAAACAAAAACTAGAGTCACAAAAGAGAAAAAAGGATAGATTAATTGCATGATAAACCTACCAAACTTTGTAACTCCTTCCTTGAAATTATTTCTGTGAAATAAAGGTGGAGACATTTTAAGAATTCCTGATAATCAGCTGGACTTTGTAGTCTTTCCTTTACCTTTTCACAGAAAGAGAACTCTTGGCAATACATATCTGGCAATAAATCAAGCAAATTATATAAAAAGGTAAATAACCAAACTTAGAAACACTGCCAGAAACAAATGCATAAATCAAGAAAACCAAAAATATACACGACGAATTGAAACTGCCTGAAAAGAAACCGCAAAAGTTAGTACTAAATACTCACCCTCTATAAAAGAGCGTGTTAATACACCATGAATTAACACATAACCAAAAGATGGCCCTCAAATAAGTTTCACCACTAACCATAATACAGATATTCATACAATGCGCACTTACTTTTCAGGACATGTTTATCTTCATGGGGTCCTCCGAATTCTTCAACCTTTACAGAAGATTTCTTTTTATCAGTTTGTGCTGTTAATGCAGTAGCTGAAATATTTGGCAAGAATTTAGTGAACTCATCTAGCAAATCTGGATGGTCATAAAGAAGTACGGCAACCTACACATAAAAAAAAATATAAAAAACAAAAACATGAAGTTCGTCTACAATATCTATGTAGACAAATTAAAAATGTTTTACACCTCATGGTACACCTCGTTGATGACCTTGTGCTCCTTCCTATACATGCTCAAAATGTCTAGGAAGGATTTATACACATGACCATCATTTTGGAAACGTTTCTGTGGGAAATGATAACACAGAAAGTTAGGACTAAAGTTTTTTAATGCAGAAAAAATGGCAGACCTTTATTGTTAAAATCAGAAGGTAACTGATCAATGTTACCCTTATTTTGTTCACAAAGTTGATAGCTTCTTCAAACTCAACAGTTCTCTTTGGAGGAACCTCATCTTTTTCATTGAGGGTTATTTCATAGCCCTTGGGCAAGAAAGTGTTGAATCTAAGGATCAATTTAGGATGCTCTTTAAACAAGGGTTTCACTCTTGCTATCACACCAGCAGTATCAATTCTGCGAGGAATATCACAGACTTATGCAATAAATTCCACATAAATAACCAAATGATAAAAACAAGGCGTAATGGCTTCTGGGCCACTTAAACTTGCACCGGATTGTAAAGCCGATTTATGAGCTTTTGATTTTCCCTTATTAACACCTCAACTCAACCGATCCGATTACTTATAAGTGAACACCTCTGATCGTTGATTATGCTTATGTGGATGACGTGGTCAAAGTACGTGCTAATCACGCAAAAAAAGAGCGTCACTCGAATTATTATATATAAAAATATTAAATCTGAACAACTTTGAATAATCCTTTGGCCAGTCTTCGTTTCTCCACAAACGAATCATTTTGGTTGGTCTATAGTGTTCCGACTATCTTCTTTGGCTGGTTGAGACTAACGAAATTACTGGAAACTTTCAAGGGTGGGAAGTAATAGGTTCTCAAGGAGGTCTGTTAGTTTTGATTTTGATAAGTATCGCCGAGATGCTATTTTTTTCGATGAAAATCTTGTCTGTTGTTTAAGGAGTTTATTATAAGTATTTTTATCAAGTTGGGGTGCTAAAATTGGAAAATCAAAAGTTCATGTATCGACTTTAAAATTCGGTGCAAGTTTAAGTGGTTCAGAAGACCATAAAAACAAGGATGAGGCTTAGTAAAGTAGCAAACCTTCGAGCCTTAAAGTCTTTTATAACATCAAGGAACAAGTCGTACTTATCCCTTTGGTCTTGAAATATGTCCTTGACCTCCTTCAAATAAGACAATGCGTCCTTAGTTGTCAGCTTTTGGGTGCTAGCATTAGCACCTGCTCCACCTCCGCCTGTGTTGTTGCCACCTTCTCCTCCGCCCAAACCACTTTCAGGAACTTGTGATTGATCATAGCTAATTCATCGGAGAGAATAAAAAACAAATATTATACATCCAAATCACAGCCATAAGTAGCCATACAGATGCATTAAGGTGTGATCTAACAGTCAATGAAATGAGTTAAATCGGGAGATTAGGGCTCAAACTCTTGTAAAAACAAAAAAAAAAGGTGGGCTTATTTCTTCTCATGCGACTAAAACTTGATAGACAAAACTATCTGATACCTAATAATTGAGATGCATGCAAACCTAATTATTGGTATAGACTTCCCCAACAGTATACTCGTTCATGGGGTTAAGTTACATTTTCATCCACTTTGCTTAGTTTGGGCTAAACATAAAAGCTTTGAATTATATTGTTCATTGATAATTGGTAAAACCCTTCATTAATAAGACAGAAACAAATAAGTATGGTTCTGTTGCTCGAAGAATGAAGGTTGAGTACGATGGTTCCGCTGTACAAGAACAAGGGTGATGTCCAAAATTGCAACAATTATAGAGGTATCAAGCTGTTGATTCACACTATGAAGGTTTGGGAGAGGGTGGTGGAGGCCAGGGTGAGGAGGTGTGTGTCTATTTTCGAGAATCAGTTTGGATTCATGCCGGAGCGTTCGACTACGGAAGCGATTCATCTGGTAAGGAGATTAGTGGATCAGTACAAGGAGAGGAAGAAGGACTTGCATATGGTGTTTATTGACCTTGAGAAAGTATACGATAAAGTCTCCGAGGGAGGTTCTATGGAGGTGGTTGGAAGCTAGTAGCGTTCCGGTAACGTACGTTAGGGTGATTAAGGATATGTATGATGGTGCTAAGACTCGGCGAAAACTGTGGGTGGTGACTCAGACCATTTCCTTGTTGTGATGGGGCTGCACCAGGGATCGGCTCTTAGCCCGTTTTTATTTGCCTTGGCGATGGATGTATTGTCGCGACACATCCAAAGGGAGGTGCCTTAGTGCATACTATTTGCAGATGATATAGTGTTGATTGACGAGATGCGAAACGGAGCTAACGTGAGGTTGGAGGTATGGAGACAGACCTTGGAATCTAAAGGTTTCAAGTTGAGCATAATCAAAACAGAATACTTGGAGTACAAATTCAGTGACGGGACCCGTAAAGCAGATGTAGAGGTAAAGCTTGATGCTCAATTTATCCCCAAGAGAGCTAGTTTCAAGTATCTCGGGTCTATTATCCAAGGTAACCGAGAATTAAACGTAAGTTATATAGAGTGGTGGTTCGACCGACTATGTTGTATGGGGCTGAATGTTGTCCAGTCAAGAACTCCCACGGCAGAAGATGAAAGTAGCAGAGACAAGGATATTGAGATGGATGTGTGGGTGTACCAGGAGAGATAAGATTAAGAATGAAGCTATCCGGGACAGAGTGGGAGTAGCCTCCGTGGAGGACAAGATACGGGAGTCGAGGCTGAGATGTTCGAACATGTTAAGAGGAGAAAACATTGATGCTCCTGTTAGGAGGTGTGAGAGGTTGGCCATGGCGAGTTTGAGAAGAGGTCGAGGTAAGCCTAAGAAGTGTTGGGGAGGGGTGATTAGACAGGACATGACGCTGCTTCACTGAGGACATGAACCTTGATAGGAGGATGTGGAGATGGAGGATTATGGTAGAAAGTTAGCGGGTAGTTTTTTAGTTGCTCACCGATAGTCTTAGTAGCACGCATGTCCCTTCATATTCTTAGATTTTTATTGTGTTATGTGGTTTTGTTCGCCTCAAGGTATTGTATTCCCTGTTGATATTTTTTGGTACTATTTATCCTTTATCTCCATCTTTTTCTTCTCTCTTCCTTCTCTCTTCCTTTCTTGCTTTTCTTCTTCTTCTTCTCACCTTTTCCGAGCCGAGGGTCTATTGGAAACAACCTCTCTACCAGCATTAAGTAGGGGTAAAATCTGCGTACAAACTACTCTCCCTAGATCCCACCTGTTGGAAACATATTAGGTTTTTTGTTGTTGTTGTTGTTGTTGTTTACCCTAAAAATGACTTAATAGGAAAACAAAAAAGAAAACTAGACTATAACCAAACAAATGCAGCATGGGTCAACATTTTCTATATATGATGTTAAATATGGCATCGAACAATTTGTGATCGCAAAATCACACACCATATAGCAACTAAAAGTCACTGATATCTTTTCTCTTCTTTAGAAGAGAGTTTTTCGACATGTATGCTTAGAAACAAGCTTGAGGCTATTTCAGTCATTTCTCATCAGCTATATACGTGCCCTTTGGTGCTCTTCCCAGATATACGTGTAGGTTTTCTGCTACTCCATATGTATGCTTTTCTTCTTTTTCAACATAAACATATTCCTTGGCTAAGCACACACAAGAAAAGGCATAGAGAAACGATCCATCACAAGATCAAAATCAGGTAAATCAGGTAAGAGTTTCTTTCTGAAGTTCAGATTTGAGTCTGATTCAATTCTTTTTGGTTTTGGCATTTGTTGGCCTGTGAGTTGTCCAGTTTTTTTCTCAAATCTCTTGAACTTTCAGGTAAATTTGTTAGTCTTTAATATCAATTTTGTTATTTTCTGTGTGTTGTTTCTCCTTTTTTTGTTCCAATTTGTTTCAACTCAAACAACATCGGGAAATTTCAAAGTTAGGGCTTTCATGGATGAAATTGGGAGAATATTTGGGGTTTTGATAATTGGTAAAAGTCTGTTTTTTTCCCCACCGAGAAAGCAAATAGAACCCAGGTAATAATCCCTTTTAGAAGTTAAAATTTGATTTTGATCTAAAACTATTTTGCTCGATCATTGCTAATGTTTCTAAGTTCTACTTAGTTTCCCCATCTCTCTGAAAATTAGCTTCTTTTTCTTTTTACATATCTCCCTTTTCTCTTTGATTCTGGGGTTTGTTTTACCTGTAAGTTTTGCTAAGTTTCTTGGTGATGGGATTTCGAAGATATGTGTTGGTTTTTGTAATTTTCCTCTTTGTGTTTTAGGTACATGTGATTTGGCGGATGATTTTTTCTTCTCTCTTTGTTGCTTTCTTTGTTTTATCCATTTATGTTATTTTGGACCTTTCTCCAACTTTTTTTTATTACTAATGTTGTTGTTAATTTATCTTTATTTCATGTTCTTTGTTTCAGTTTTTACTCTGGGTTGTGGTAGCCGTCTCCTCTGCATCATCCTGTAAGCACTGCACTTCTATTGGTTTTTTTCCTTAACTTCTTAGTAGATTATTTATTTATATATATTATCTGTTTATTAGAGTTATTTTTGGTTTGTAATGTATGTCAATAACACACAACTTATATTACTATATATCTAGATTTAATTTTAATTTAGTATTTTTGAAGCCTTATTTTTCAACGAATAAAATGGACTTCATTGTTCTCGAGTAAGTATAAAAAGGATCAAATGTTTGAAAAATACTACCGGTAAAATGACTAGGCAACATGAATTATATAGAGTGATGCTGATAAAAAGGATGCTCTTATACCGCAGGTCTAATATATGAGACTGGAAAAAAAATGATCAATAAGAAAGAAGAAAAAATTTGAACTCGATAGCCCTTTTAAAGGGGGTAAATGCAAATATGGATTACTATCTGTTAAATTCTCTCATAGTGAGAAATCTGCGGTGAATCGAGCAAGTGTACATCCTGGTGTATGATGAAAATACCAACAAAATGCCGCAATCAGTCATATTCGAGTAATTTTATTAATTTCATATATTCACTTGTACATATATATTCTCATAGTTGGTTGGTGTTTATTTGTTTTAGTAGGATATATAAATAACAATATAAGTCTTCTCGTAAGGCTGGAGTGACAGAGGTTGGCTACTAAGTTGGGCATTGTTGCAAGTTGCTCATGTCGATGTTTAGGATGTGCTTTATGTTATGCTTGAAAATACAAACTATCCCTATGTATTTGAGAGGCATGCAGATTCTCAATTTATCTTCTTTATTATTGCAGTTCTAGCGATTCGCTGTGGTTGTTTTCTACCTCTGTTATTCAGTGGCACTTGAACCGAAAGGTAAATTTTCTAATATCTCGTGATTTATTTTTAGGTATTGTAAGTTTTTGCTTGAGTTCTTCTAAAAAATTATAATAAACATATATAAATATTAAATAATATTGAAAATATATTCAGTAATGCAAGTATGCACTTGACATTTCTCCTTCAGGAAATAGATGCGTGAATATGTCGAGTAAAAATCATAAAAATGAAAGTTGTGAAAAAATATATGCTGACAAGAAGGCTAGGCGACGCGAATTATACAAGATGATGCAAGACGATAAAAAGGAGGCTCTCCTAGTGCGAGCACGCGCACGAGCAAGTAAGGACGAAACAAGTGGTCGGCAACTTCCTGTTTGCTCACTAATTAATAGCTCTCTTATCGCATCATCCTCTATGAGTGCTAATATTTCAAGCGAGCAATATCTTCCTTTTGTGGGATATTCAATATATGAAGCAGGTTAGAGAGCTAGACTATGACTTCTTGATGGTATACACAAGTATAAATACGTATATGCATTTATAACTATCAAAATTATATACTTATACTTATTATTGTTGCATCCCAGGATCTACTTCTAATACAAATCATGAACAATATACTGAAGAGTCAATAACAATTCAACCATCAATTGATTATGTTATGTTAAAAACTGTTCCCAAATGCAAATTTTGCGAAGCCAAAAAATTTGAATACGAACCACCCGCATTCTGTTTTCGCAAAGGCACTCTTAAGTTGATTTCACATCAAGTACCACAAGAGTTACGAACTCTGTGTCTAGGAAATACTGAAGAATCAAAGGATTTTCGAACCTACATAAGAACATACAATAATACATTTGCGTTCACATCTCTGGGAGTAAGTTATGACAAAGAGTTGGCGAAAAGGAATAAAGGTATTTATACATTTCGAGTTCAAGGACAAATGTATCATTTCATGAATGACCTGATACCAAGTAATGAAAAAGGAAAAAATCTACAATTATATTTCTATGATAATGAAAATGAGGTGAGCAATCGAATGGCATGTTCCAATAAATTGAACGAGGATACTGTGAAAAATTTAATGGAAATATTAAAAACCAATCCTTATACTACGTTTTTGAAATCCTTAATAAATATACCACAATTATCAGATTTCTACATTGCGCTTAAGTGTGATGTTGGTTTAGAGAAACGAATATACAACCTACCAACTACGTCAGAAGTGGCAGGAATATGGGTAGAACAAGATACCAATAATTGCATTCCTACACCACATATCCGAATATTTACAAAGTGATAGAAGCCAGCTGGTAAATTATTATTACGGATGTTACGACCCATTGCAATATCCATTATTCTTCCCTTACGGTCAAAATGGTTGGCATTGTGGTATTTAAAAAGTTAAGCCTTCACCTACCCCTTCCAGAACACATCCGTATTATGAATACGAACAATTGCCATGTCTAACAAATATGACTTCAATTGATGGATTCCTTGACATGGAAGCTGAAGTGATGCAAAAAGGCAAACGAAAAAAAGAAACAGTTTCCTGTCATGAATATTATTGTTATCAACTCCAAATTAGAGATGATGAAAATATAATCTTACATTCAGGACGATTATTTCAACAATATGCTGTAGGCGAATGGATAAAAGTTGAAACTCAAAGATTAGATTTCGCTTTTTTCAATCAAGATTTATTCAGGATGGATGTGTTAGCGGGACTTTTTAATCTTTTGCGACGCGGTGAGAGAGAAGGCTCACAGGTAGGTAAAAACAGAATACTTCCGCTTAGCTTCACAGGAGGGCCAAGAGATATGCGCCGCCGCTATATGGATGCTATTGCATTAGTGCAACGTTTTGGAATACCCGATATATTTCTAACTATAACATGTAACCCTTCGTGGCCTGAAATTCAAGAAAACTTGTTGTCGACAGATGAGGCTCAGAATAGACCCGATTTAGTTAGCCGAATATTTCGAGCAAAACTATAAGAGCTTAAAAAGGATATACTAAAAAGACAAATATTTGGTAAAGTTGCAGCATTTATGTACACGGTCGAATTCCAAAAACGGGGACTTCCACATGCTCATTTTCTTATTATGCTCGATGAAAAATACAAACTACTGACCCCTGAGGCATATGATAAATTTGTTTGCGCTGAATTACCGGATCCTAAAAGAAATTCTGATTTATTTAAGCTTGTTACACAACACATGCTACATGGTCCTTGCGGTCAATTAAATCCAACAAGCCCCTGTATGAAGAAAAAAAATGGTCATTGTAAATTTAAATTTCCAAAAGAGTTTGCTGAACAGACAACTAAAGGAAAAAAATTCATACCCTATTTATAGAAGACGAATACAGGAAAATCTGTGGAAATTAGAGGACAACTTTTTGATAATTCATGGGTTGTTTCTTACAATCCATTCTTACTTAGTAAATTTAATTATCATATAAATGTGGAGATTTGCTCTGATATTAAAGTTGTTAAGTACATTTACAAGTATATTTGCAAAGGATATGATAAAATTGCATTTCATATACATCCTAATGAGACGAATATAGAAGTAGATGAAATAATGGAATATCAATTTGCTAGGTGGGTGTCACCACCTGAGGCTGTGTGGCGCATATTTGCTTTTCCTATCAGTGAAATGATTCCAAATGTATACCATCTTCAACTGCATCTTGATGGACAACAAATTGTTTCCTTCAAAAATACAGACAATATTAGTAGAATTGTAAATAATCCTATGATTAAAAAAACAATGTTAACTGAATTTTTTAGAATGAATAGCGAAAACGAAAATGCTATAACTTTAAATTTATTATATCGGGAATTTCCAGAATATTTTGTATGGTCCACAACATACAAGATGTGGTCGCGTCGCCAACAAGGATATGCTATTGGTAGAGTTGTGACATGTCATCCAACCGAAGGAGAATGATACTATCTTAGATTGCTCTTAATGAACGTAAGAGGACCAAAATCGTATAAAAATTTGCGAACTGTAAACGGAATAACTTGTGGCACGTTTAGAGAAGCTGCGGAAAAAAGAGGATTATTACTTTGCGATAATAATTTAATATAATGCATGTCAGAAGCAGTAAGTTACCAAATGCCACACAGTTTGAGACACTTATTTGCTGTACTATTAGTATATTGCAATCCCGCTAATCCAAGAGAGTTGTGGGAAAAATTTGAAATCCCGATGTCTGAAGATTTCAATGAATACCCAAACATGCATACACGAGAAATTCGTCACAAAGTATTAAATCATATTAATGATATTCTTCATTCAATGGGTCGTGATATCAACGAATTTGAACTAACTCAGGGAAAAATTCAACCATCTGCAACAGCCAAAGAAGCTAAAGATGTACATTTTGAAAGGAATATTATCGTTACTGAACAAGATTTACTATTGCCATATAAACTAAACATTGAACAAAAAAGAGCTTACAATGTAATCCTTGATAGAATATTCTCAAATAAACTCGGAGCATTCTTCGTTGATGGTCCGGGTGGAACTGGAAAAAGCTTTTATATCGTGCCTTATTAGCTACAGTACGACATAGAGGATTTATAGCATTAGCGACTGCGAGTTCAGGTGTTGCTGCTTCACTTCTTCCCGGAGGCCGAACTGCTCATTTCCGATTTAAAATACATATTGATGTTGATGGAAATTTTAGTTGCAATATTAGCAAACAAAGTTCACTGGCATCGTTGATTCGAGATGCAAAACTAATAGTATGGGACGAAATTTCAATGGCAAAAAAGGAAATGGTTGAAGCACTAGATTTGCTCCTTAGAGATTTAATGGAAACAACTATGTTGTTCGGCGGAAAGGTTGTTGTATTCTGTGGCGATTTTAGACAAACTCTTCCCGTTGTTCGTGGTGGACAAAGGGAAGATTTTGTTCGTGAAAGCTTATTATGTTCTGAAATTTGGCATCAACTTGAAAAATTACAACTGTCCGAAAATATGCGTGCGAAAACAGACCCAGCTTTTTGTGAATATTTGATGAGAATTGGTAATGGAAAAGAAAACAAAAATGATAAGAACAAAATAGAAATTCCCCATCCTCTGATCATACCTTTCACCACTGAAAAAGATTCCTTGAATCATCTATTTAAAGTTACTTATCCTGATTTATATTTAACTCATTCAAATATTTCTTTTATTACTTCTCGCGCAATTCTAACTACAAAGAACGACTTCGTTGATGAAATAAATGATATGCTAATTGCTCAATTTCCAGCTGATGAAAAAGTCTATTTAGCTACCGATGAAACAATTGATCCAAAAGATCAAAGTGAATATGACGACTTTTTGCACGCTTTAAATCCTCCTGGTTTACCTCCTTATAAATTGTGTCTAAAAAAAATTGTCCAATTATATTATTAAGAAATTTGAATCCCTGCAACGGTTTGTGCAATGAGACACGATTAATATGTAATGACTTCAAATCTCATGTTATTAGTGCTACAATATCCAGTGGTGATTTTAAAAATACACATGTATTCATTCCGCGAATACCAATATTAACATCAGAAGATGAAAAACTACCCCTTCAATTTAAAAGAACACAATTTCCGATACGGTTATGTTTCGCCATGACTATAAATAAAGCTCAAGGCCAAATATTAGATTTTGTTGGCATTTATTTGCGAGAACCTGTATTTTTTCATGGTCAATTGTACGTTGCTTTATCAAGAGCTAAAGGTTCTAACTGTGTTAAGATATTAATTAGACCGGTTATAGTTGACGATGATGATGATCACTCCACATATAATGTAGTTTATGATGAAATTATTGAAAAAGCTTTTNTTGTGGGAAAAATTTGAAATCCCGATGTCTGAAGATTTCAATGAATACCCAAACATGCATACACGAGAAATTCGTCACAAAGTATTAAATCATATTAATGATATTCTTCATTCAATGGGTCGTGATATCAACGAATTTGAACTAACTCAGGGAAAAATTCAACCATCTGCAACAGCCAAAGAAGCTAAAGATGTACATTTTGAAAGGAATATTATCGTTACTGAACAAGATTTACTATTGCCATATAAACTAAACATTGAACAAAAAAGAGCTTACAATGTAATCCTTGATAGAATATTCTCAAATAAACTCGGAGCATTCTTCATTGATGGTCCGGGTGGAACTGGAAAAAGCTTTTATATCGTGCCTTATTAGCTACAGTACGACATAGAGGATTTATAGCATTAGCGACTGCGAGTTCAGGTGTTGCTGCTTCACTTCTTCCCGGAGGCCGAACTGCTCATTTCCGATTTAAAATACATATTGATGTTGATGGAAATTTTAGTTGCAATATTAGCAAACAAAGTTCACTGGCATCGTTGATTCGAGATGCAAAACTAATAG